ACATATGCATGTGGATGTACACTGCAGCACTGTTCACAATAGCAAAGACGTGGAATCAACCCAAATGCCCCATCAGTTGACAGATTGGATAAAGAAAATGTAATACATATACACCATGAAGTACTATGCAGCCACAACAAAGAACAAGATCATGACTTTTCAGGAACATGGTTGGAGTTAGAGGCCATTAATTATCCTTAGCAGGGGCCTACTTGAGGGTGGAGGGTGGGAGGAGGAAGAGGAGCCAAAAAAAAAATGACTATTGGGTCGTGATCACCTGGATGATGAAATAATCTGTACAATAAACCCCGGTAACACAAGTTTACCCATATGACAAACCTATAAATGTACCCATGAACCTAACATAAAAGCTTTAAAAAAAAGTAGACAAAAGAAAAGAAAATGTACACTTTTTCTAAGAGCATATTATTTGTGTTAACATGTAATGTTTCTTTAAAAAATAATAAATATTTTACATATTTCTCAGTTTTAACTTCCACTACAGCAAACATTGACAGGTACAGCCTCCACACATAAAGGCTCTTTTGGGCTGTTAATAATTTTAGAGGGTTTAAAGGTGTGCTGGGACCAAATCGTTTGAGAACCTTCCAACTAGATGCTGGTTTCCTGCAGTGAGTCAGAAACAGGGAGGCCGAGAGCCAGCCCCAGGGGCAGGCCTTTTCATCTGAGTTTACCCCACTGTAAAACATGAGATATGCGGGGCTGAACTAACTGGAATGTTTTGAACTTTATTATTTTATTTTTTGATATATTTCTTTTTTTTACTTTAAGTTCTGGGATACATGTGCAGAATGTACACGTTTGTTACGTAGGTATACATGTTTCATGGTGGTTTGCTGCACCTATCAAGCGTCATCTAGGTCTGAAGCCCCGCACGCATTTGCTATTTGTCCTAAGGCTCTCTCTCCCCTCGCCCCCCACCCCCGGCAGGCCCAGGTGTGTGCCCTTCCTGTGTCCAGGTGTTCTCATTTGAATTTTACTTTTTAACACAGCGGGGCCTCTTTTCAATTAAAATCTTTCTCAGGAACCTGGAATGCATAACAGATTACAGTAAACTCAAGCTTGGAGAGTGGGGGAGCTGGAATTGCCCCCCATACCTCTTTTTCGCAACTGCCTCTTGGAGCGCAGTCTGAAAACCACTGACCCAGAAGATCCCGAGGCCCATTCGCTCCGTCCCTCTCTATTCCAAGCCGCTGAAGGGTGGTGAGCCCAGGACACTCCTTACCTGCTTTGGCCGAGCTGGGATTCACAGGAGGTGCTGGTGGGGTCGGGAGGCTGCAGGCGGGCACCCGGCTGGCGGTCAGAAGCTGTCCTCCTGAGGAAAGGCAGAGGGTTGAGGGCACACAGAGCTGCTCTCCGCTGTGAGTCTGCTCTCAGCCAAGGCCCTGAGCTGCTCCTCCAGCACCCTGCTGGGTTCCCAAAAGGGCTCCCAGCCTCTGCCGGGGTCAGTGGGTGGGCTGTTGAGAGTGGCGATTTAGCTTCAAACAGAGAGGAGGTGGCCGGGCAGAATATGGAATGTGTGTTCCCAGACACTTTGGCTATGACTGCTTGGCTGTCTTCAGAGTCTCTTGTTTCCTTGTGCCCCTGAGACAGGGACATTGGGGGTGATGGAGAGGGAACTGAGGAAAGGCCGCTTGCTTCTGGGCGTTGGGTCGGAGGGCTGGAGACCCTGCCCTGAGCGGGTGGGCTCTCCGGGGGAGGGCTGGGCAGCTTGGGCTGGCACGGTGGGGACGTTCGCCGCTTTGCGGTTGGTGGGCTTAGCACCCTGGGGCTCACCAGTGGGCTGGGAGCTCCAGGGCCGAGTGGTGGGCTGGGGGGTGTCTGTATAGCAGAGGGGCCTGGCTGGGCAGGTCTGTAAGAGGAGGGCAGGCTCCGGCGCCTCTTCTCTGCTTGGGGCACCCAGTGTGTCCTCGTGGGAGAGGCCTTTCTGCCCACGGGGGGGCTTCTCTCTCGGCTCTGCCTCAGTCTGACCAGGCTGGACTCTGAGGTCCTGTTCTGTCCAGATGGAGGGCTGGAGTGGTGCCAGGCAATGGACTTCCGGGGCTGCCTGTAGAGGCTGGTGGCCTTCTCTGTCTGACTCGAGGTCCCACCCTTCACCTCTGGGCTGCGGCTGGTGGCTGGTGGGTGGCTCAGGTCCAGGGCTGGCTTCCTGGGCTGGCAGCTGCTCTTGCCACTCCCTGGTTCTGTGCTGCGAGGCTTGGTGGGGCTGGCGGTGCTCTTGCTGGGCAGCAAGTCCGGGGGGCTCACAGAGGCCCTCAGCTTTGGGGAAGCCCATGTTCTCCTGGTGGGGCCTGCCTCAACCGGCCCTGGTTCCTGGGTTTCCTCGGGAGAGCTCTCTGTGGACTTGCTGATTTCTTGGGACTCCAGAGAAGTAAACGATTTGTCCATCAGGACTTCCAGGGGTGGTGGAGGGAGGTGCTCAGGGTTCCCCTCCACGTCACAGCTGAGTTGCTCACTCGTGGCTGCTTCTGCTTTAGGCAGAGGGGGAAAGATAGGTGCTAAGGGCTTCCAGCCTATGCCCATTTTGAGAGATTCTCTGCCTGAGGCTGGAGAAATTTGGGGCTTTGGATACAAAGGGGCAAGCCCCCTGGACATGGGAAATCTGGGGGGCATGATGCTATTCCTGAGGTAGGGACTTTCCTCAGAGTCCTTGGAGTCCCCCAGCGTCCTCAGACTCTCTGTGGGACTGAAAGTTTCAATGAGCTTCTTGACGGATGTTCTGGTGGGACAGGCCCTGACATTCCAGTCCTTGGCCCCGGCAGCCTCACTGACCTCTCCCGATAGGGTGGCATCTGGAACCTTCTCAGTTTTGCCCTGTTCGTCCTCAGGATGGGGACTGCATTTCTGCAAGATGCTCTTGTCCTGACTAGGCAAAATACTGAAGTTCTTGGTGAGGGATGCCTTGAGCCTGCTGGTGGTGTTGCTTGGACCGACCCTGCAGGTGCCATTGGGCCACCCGGCTGCTGCTCTGGGCTGCGGAATCTGCTCCTGGCTCTGCCCCTGCCCTTTAGTGCCCAGGGCATAAAATGCCTCCAGCTTCTGACTGAGGTCCCTCTGGACCCTTTGCAGCTCCTGAAGGGTGGGGTCCTCCACGTGACTCTGGAGACACGGCTCTGACTGGGACCTCCCCTGCCTTTCGGGGGCCCTCCTGCTGCCACTGACCGTGCTAGGTCTTGGGGGGACCGCTGTTCTCCCCTCCTCCTCCTCCGACCAGTCCTGGTGCCCAGAGGGCACAGGAACAAACTTGATCCTTTCGCTGATTGCTTTCTTCATCTTCAGAATCATTTCCTGGGCCTGGGGGCTCCTAAGCCTCCTGGAGTGGGACTGAAATGGGCTTTCCCGGTCAGCAGGTGAAGATCGCGGCCTCGAATCCAGAGCTTTTACTTGCCATGCACACACACTCGTGCTGCTCATTTCTTCTTCCTCTTCCTCTGAGCTGCTGTCCTCGCTGTCACTAAGAGATGGAGCGTCCATCAGTCTGGAGGTTTTGGAAAGATGTGCTTCCACAGGGACCCCAATCCCAAATGAATCACTTGGGGTGCTTGTCCCCAGCTCCAAAGGCAGGGAGGTGATATTTTCTGGGCTTGTGCTGGAGAGGCAAGGGCTCTTTGCTTTCTCCTGTGCTTGTGGCTGAACCTTTGCCATAGGAACCCCTGAGAACAGGCAGTCCTGGGGTCGGTCTGAACCCATACAGAATGAACTTTGTTGCCAGGCATGTCCTGACTGCCTGGCCTCTGTGTGGGGCAAAGTCACTGACTTCCATTCTTTGGGATCTGGTGCAAGGTCCCAGCTGGTTTGCTTGCCCAGCTTGTCCACCGACTGCACGGACTCATTGTCAGCACCAATGCCACTGTCCTCCGAGCATAAGGGGAGACCCTGCACTCCAGGGTCGCCACAGCCACTCGCCAGGCTCTCTAGCTGCCCCAGAGCCCTCAGGACGTGTTCATCCACATTCTTTTTTGTGCTCAGCTTATTTTCCAAGTGGGTTGCGGTGGAGTGGAGGTAGCTGCTGGAGCCCTCCAGGAAGCTGCTGGTGAGCGAGGCCACCGTGCCATTGAGCCCCTGCAGCTTGCTGACTGTGTACTGCAGCAGCTGTTGCAGGAGGTCTGGCTGCTCCTGGGGCTCCCTTTTCTTCAAAGGCCAAGCCAGATCCTCCCTAACTTCCTGCAGGAGCACTTCTCCATCCTTGGAGATCTCCCTCAACAGCTGGCTGATCTCCTCAAAGCACAGCAGCAGGAAGCTGACCATGGGCTGCAGCAGCTCCCGGGTCTGGGTGGCCTGATGGATGATGCGCAGAATTGCTTCATATTTGGAGAGGCTGGAGTGTAGATAGGCATAAGTGTGCTGGTGCGCCTTTACCAGCGGCTCTGGGAAGTCCACTTTGCCTTCAGACCCATGAGCAGGGTGGATGGTTTGGCGGCAGTGGCTCTGTGTGCTTGACATGTGGCATTGTGGTGTCCTTTTCCATTTGGAAGCATCTTGGGTACTACTTTCCTCACTCTCATCTCCAGAAAGTTCTGCCCCTTGAGATCCATGGGAACCCTGTTTCTTGAACAGAATGTCTTTAGCCATGTGGCTTTGTGATTTGTTGGGCTGGGATGAAGAAGTTTTGGTTCCTGGGATTAGTCCTTCCATATCTTTCCTTTTGCCTGAAGCAGGATCTCTCATGAGCTGACAAAGACCTTTAGCTGTGGTTTGGTTCCTCCTGGAACTTGGCTGCTCCTCTGCCAGGCCCTCCCCAGCGTCATAGCAGGTGGAGTTTTTAACCAGCAGAGGGATGGAACCCTTTTCATTGCCACCCGGACATCCTGGCCGAATGGCTTTGGGTTTTTTCAAGAACTGAATGCCACTCTTTGCAACGCTGTTTACAATGTCACTGTGTGAAGGTGTACAGCCCATGATTTCAGCTTGTAGTCATCTTCCACCCACAGCCTTCACAATTTTCCAAGAATCATCTTTGAAATAGACACAAAAGGCAATCTTACTAGTCCTTCCGGGCAATTTTCAGGCCAGAATCCTTTGAAGTCCATGGTACAATATCCTAAACTTGGAAGCAGCTTTCTGTATTTTCTTGGCCCAAACGTGAAGAGGGAGTGGTACCTGTCATCCTGTTGTTCTAAGTTTGGAATCCTCTGCTGTTAGTGAGCAGCGGGACAATTCTGAAGGCCCCCAGTCTGGTGGATTACAGGCCTGTGTTTTGCTCCCATCCTGACAGATGTGGATGGCAAGTGGAGCTTAAGCCTATTAGGTTAATCATGCCCTAGCCAGTCAGCACTCACAGTGTGTTCTAATATAGAACTTCTCAGCATTTACTATCTTGGGAAGCGGATTATTTTTGCACGTGCTCATGCTTTTAATTCTGTTCAGACGCCTGCCACATGAAACCTAGAGAAATGAGCCATAATTGCAAAAGGCTCTGGAAGAGATGCGTTTGTGGGAGAGAAGAGAGGGCTCGCTGATTACAGTCCCTGGAAGAGAAGTGACCTTCACGGTTTAATAAGGGCAAACCAGCCAAATGTGCTTCAATCTGCTGTTATCAAGAAGACCCCAAAACATGTAATAGAGAATAATTGAAGCAATGCATTGTTGTTTGTGTGGCTTATAAAAACCCCAGGACTCTAGTGATAGGGAAGCATCTCTAAATAAGATAGGGAGTGAAGAAGGCAGGGTTGCTTTCCTTTGCCTTAGAAAATTGAGTTAGGTAGCAGGAAAGCCATCGCCCCAATTTGGATGGGGACGGCAGGAAAAGTCACAGCCATGTAAAGCTCGAGGCTGGTCGCTACGCTCAGGAAGGCGGTGCTTTCATGGGAAGAGGGTTTTATGCAACCTTCTTCCTAGGAAAACAAGCTAAAATTAGGCAGTGGAGAGCCATTTCGTTATTAAGAGGGGAACTCGAGGGGAAGCCCATCTCTCTGCTCAAGCTGAGTATGGGGATCCTGCCTGTGGCTAAGGGTAGCAGCTGCCCATTTAAAAACTCCTTTTCAACTTTATTTGCTGTCAGTAAAGTCCAGAACAAGGGCTTGGCCTAGAACGACTGGAGTTTGAATCTTGACTCTTTCTCCTGTTGGGGGAACTTCTGAAAGTTTTTTTTTTAACTTCCCTGAGGCAGAGCTCATCTTTGAAATGAGGAACATGGCACTTGCTTCACAGAGCTATTGTGGGGATTAAGTCAATTAATACTTGGTGAGTGCCTGATCCAGCGCTTGACCCACAATAGCTACTCAAAAAACATGCAGTTTCAGCCAGGTGCAGTGACTCATGCTTGTAAATCTCAGCACTTTGGAAAGTTGAGGCAGGCTGATCGTTTGAGCTCAGGAGTTCGAGACCAGCCTGGGCAACATGGTGAGACTCTGTCTTTACTAAAAATACAAAAATTAGCTGGGGATATTGGCACACACCTGTAATACCAGCTACTCAGGAGGCTGAGATGGGAGAATCACCTGAGCCCAGGAAGTTGAGGCTGCAGTGAGCTGTCATAGTGCCACTGCAAGCCAGCCTGGACTTTGGAAGTGAGACCCTGTCTTTAAAAAAAAGGAGTTTCTTACTCCTTTCCTTCTGGAAGCTAGGGCGCTTACTAACAATGAAAGTCATAAGAATTTCATTGGTTTGCATTGCTTTATTCCTGAGTGATCTGGAAATAATTGCCCATGATGTGCTTAGAGCCCTCTGAATCTGGTGCTCCCCCCACCCCACCTCTACCCTGTGCTCAGTCCACCGCTGCCTCAGGATTTTTCTAAGGCCTCATTGTATAATCTCTCTGCTCTCAAACACAATGATTCCTATTGTCTGCAGGAGGAAGAGGGGCTTTTATTTAACCATTTCCTATTTTGGAGCATCTAGGTTGTTGCCAGTTTTGAAATTTTCCAAATAGGAAAACATTGCATTGAGCATCTCTGAGCGTCCCCCTGAAGTTGCTGAGATTGGAGTTGCTATTCTGGCTTTCCAGTCTTCCTTTCTTCCTCCTTAACTCTGTTACAACCAACGAAAGCGTCACCGTGGGTGTCAGGGTGTCTCGGAAACAGGCAGGACTTAGAGCTGCCTCCTGTGAAGGCTGCAGACTGGCCACTGGGGCTGAGTGCAGCCTGCTGCCTATCACGGCCTGGTGCCCCAGAGTGCATCATTAATAAACTTCCCTGATCTGTTTATTTGAAGCAGAACTCAGGGGAAACACAAAGCCAAATCAGAGCCTGCAGGCGAGCTGCGTTAGGTGTCAAGACGTTGCTTCATTTGTCACAGCTCTGGGCTGGCCCGGTAAACAAGGGTGCCACATGGGAAGGCTTCTTTTCCCCTTCGGGTCATCGATTTTAACAGAGTGAAAACCTCATCTGGAGGACGCTTTATGTAAATTCTTCTCCTCTTGGGATTTGGGCCGCTGCTTGACTCATCTTTGTGAAAAACTTTGATCTAAGTGGCTAAAATTATTTCCAAACCAATGATCAAAATCAAAGTATTTGCCTGGAGGATTTGCTGTCAGATAGCTCTGTACCTTGCACATGAGTTTCCTTGACTATTCCAAATAATTCAGGAAGCTCTTTATTCATTGTCATTTATTTTTCATTAAGACCAACTTTTGTTTTTCTTTCTTTTTAAACTGGAGTTGCTTTAAATAATAATTTAAAAAAAGAATTATTTTGAGTGGGCATATTAAAAGAGTACAACTATTTTGGAAAACTGATATTTAAAAATATTCTCTGTGACCAGTCAATTCCACTCCTAAGAATTTACCCAAGGATATTGAACATAAAGGTCTGCGAAGAGACTGGTGTAAGAAAATTTATATTTCTACTCATAATAGCCTCAAATTGGAAATAACCTAAATGTTTATCAATAGGGAAATAGGTAAATTCAACATAATTGTACAATGGAATACTACCTAGCAATGAAAGGAACAAACTAATGAACCATGTAACAACAGGATAGATTTTAAAATCATTATGATGAGTGAAAGAAACTAGATGTTAAGGAGTACAGTTTGAAACATTCTATTTATATGGAGTTTGGGAACAGGCAAGTAATCCATAGTTATATTAAATAGTTAGAAAAGTAGAGATTGGCAGGGTGTGGTGGCTCACACCTATAATCCCAGCCCTTTGGGAGGCCGAGGTGGGTGAACCACAAGGCCAGGAGTTCAAGACCAGCCTGGCCAACATGGTGAAACCCTATCTCTACTAAAAATACAAAAAAAATTAGCAGAGTGTGGTGGTGCTTGCCTGTAATACCAGCTACTCAGCAGGCTGAGGCTGGAGAATCACTTTAACCTGGGAACCTGGGAGGTGGAGATTGCAGTGAGCTGACATCATGCCGTTGCATTCCAGCCTAGGTGATAAGAACAACACTCTGTCGCAAAAAAAAAAAAAAAGAAAAAGAAAAAGAAAAAGAAAAGTGGTGATCCCTGGGAAGAGCTCTCAGCTGGTTGTGGACATGAAGGAATTTCTTGTAAATGTTTCACATCTTAACGTAGGTGGTAGTTATATGGGTATATACTATATAGGCAAAAATTCCTTGAGTTGCACAATGAAGTTGTACACTTTATGTATGTTGCACTTGCACACACACACACAGACACACACCCCTCTCTAACTAAAATGCAGTATTGTATGCTTTGTTTTGTGCATAAGAGGGTCCTAGCTCTAAAGCTGTTGGTCTTGGAAAAGGGTCCCTCCATTAATTGTCTGTTTTTATATAACAAACTACTCCAAAAATTAGCAGCTTAAGATAACAAACATTGTCTCACAGTTTGTGTGGGTCAGGAATTTGGGGGCAACTCAAAACGATCTGTCATGAGTTTGCAGTCAAGATGTCAGCCAGGATTGCGGTCATCTGAAGGCTTGACTGGGGTTGGATGATTCTGTTCAAGATAGTTCATCTACATGGCTGTGATCTCTCACTCACATGAAGGCCTCAGTTCCCTGTCTGTTTGTGAGGGGCCTCAGTTACATGTCATATCAACCCCTCTGCGGGGCTGCTTGATTGTTTTTACAGCAGAGCAGCTGGCTTCCCCCAGAGCAAGTCCTGATCTCAAAGCTCACCTTCACGTCCTCCGTATTCCATTCTTTAGAAGCCAGTCACTGTGCAGAGTCTACATTCAAGGAAAGAAAAATTAGGCCCACCTTCAAAAGGTCACTTGAAATAAAAAAAGATCAGGTGATATCATAGCTCAAACCACAGCATCTAAAATATCACTGTGTATACTAAACATTAGCTTGTAAGGTACTAGTCTTTCCTCTTTAGCATGTTAAATAAATTCCATGCCATTTTGTTTGATGTGGCCCTGAACTAATTGATCAGCAAAAGATGGTTCTAGTGTGACATCCATTTTGAGCCAAGACTGAAAGTCATTGAAACAATCTGAGAAATGTTTTACCTCTCAAATTCTATCAGCTTCACCAATGGGCTCTCCTGGACCTCAAAAGCTAAGAAAAATTTTCCACTAGTCAAGGCCTACCTAGGACATACCTGGTCCTCCATATCTGAAGGGATCCTTTTTGCAACACAGTGCCCTGGTCTAGACGTGAGATGAGCAGGTAACCGAGAGATAAGCATGCAACTATTGTGGTGAGCTGGCAGGGAAAGGTCATGTTTGTGTTCCAAGCACTTCATTAGGCACTCACTTTACATTTGTCTTATCAGAAGCTGGCCTTCCTTGCTTTGCTTTGGAGGATGATTAACCATCGTTTAAAAAAATCAGTCTGGCTACTGTTATATACCTTAGAGCAATCCATCCAGAGGTGCTCGTGTGATATGTAATTCTATCAGAAACCAACATGTGACATCCAGGTGTCTGCCCTAAGTAGCTTCTGATTTGGTGATCACAGTAGAAACACGTGCCTGTTTCTCTTGAATCTTAGTGTGCACAGCTTATGGTCTGAATCAGTCATCATGCAGGCATGTTGTGCCTTTGGAGGTTGACTGCTTAACCCTTTAAGGTGCCTCTAAGGATTCTCCAAAGCAAATTTTATGTACACTAGTTAATGTATCTGTAGAATCAAAGTATCCTAAATGTACCACAAGCTTGAAAAACATTTATCTAGTTTTTTTGTATGATAATAAGAGAAAATGTTTTATTGAAATAGATTCAATTCTTACATATAAATTAGGGTTTTTTTTTTTTTTTAAAGGGCAGCCTAACTTCTGTAACTAACAATCCCCAACTTTCAGTGACTTAGCACAGTAAGAGTTATTACTGTTCACACAATGCCAGTGTAGACGTTGGGACATTCTCTTAAACA